CTTCAAGCACCCTGGTTCCTCTTATCCGAGAAGGGTGTTCTGAAACCACAGTCTGGGCATTCAACGTGCCTGTTGCTGGTGAAGTGGGCTTCTTCTGCAGACATCCGCTCCCACACCGGCTTTCACGGTAGCCTTGCCTGTCCTCACTGGGGAGAAACTGAGTCTCGTCATCTGCAGGGTTACTCGTTTGTTCGGTTCTAGTATACACAGAAAGTTACAGAGCCGCCAACCCAGACCCGTGGGAGCGACACCGTTGCCTGGCGAGAGCGTCCAGGTCTTACCCATCAAGGGTGTTCTCCTCGGCTGTCGGTAGATGCCCGCCCTCTGCAGGGGGGCTGTGCTGGTCACGGACAGTGAGGCCCATCCCTTGCTGTGTGACGTCCTCCGCCCCCGTTGGCTGTAATCCATGCTGGGGAGTATGAGTGGCATCTGAAAGAAACCTCACTGTCCCTTGAGAGCGACGTGTTCTGAGGACTGTCCCCGTGTCCTTGTCCTTGCTCCCAGCTCCCTTGCTCACTGGCCCTTGCAGACACACGGAGTTGCTGGGTTAATCTCGTTTCTCTCACACATGAGCAGCTTCCCTTCCCTTAGTGTATCTGGGGGTCACTCCTCAGAGCAGTCAGCGCCCAGAAGCCTTCATTCCTTTTCACGGCCGTTGGCCCTCCTGCTGTGGATGTGGCGTCCTCTACTAACCACAGGTAGGCATTTAGGTGGCTTCCAGTTGCAGTCATCAGCGAATATGCATTTCTGTATTGGCAGAGATTTACCTTCAAGGTAGGTCCTGGGTAAACGCACCAGCAGTTTCCTGAGGTCTCGCACAGTTCACCTCTGGGCTGCGGCTGTTTGCATTCCGTCCAGCAGCCTGGGCTGCTTCCCCAGGCCTCGGCGACACACTGTGGCGTCACAGTTTTTACTTTGCCAAACCTGATGCGTGAGAAAGGGCTGATCCATGTTTTCAGCTGCCTTTCCTGTGCGTGTGTTTGAACATGTTTATCTGTTCTCGGGCCATTTGCACTGCTCTCCTGTGTGCAGATTGTTCAGGTGTTCGTTCCCATTTGTCTACTGGGTTTTTTTTTTTTTGGTCTGCATCCCCCAATTTTCAATCTTTTTATACTGAGGATAACAGCCTGTTGTTTATATATGCTGTGAATTCACAGCCATCTGTCAGTCATCTTGACTTACTTTGTGTGTGGTGCTTTTGCCATGCAAAATTTTACGTAAAGTTCATCAATCGGCAGGGATTTTGAGTTGGATTTAGAAATCCTTTCCCTACACTCAGGTTGGAGAGGAATTCACGCATATTTTCTTGTGCTAGTATAGTTTGTCTTTCACATTTAGATCGCTACCCCACTTGGAGTGGATTCTTCCATACTGATAAAATCTTACGCTCATCTAAATGACTGTCTGGTTACCCTGGTGACCATTTATCACAAAGCACATCTTCACCTGTGCCGTAAGACGGAACCTTTATCACAGGGTACGTTTCCATATGTGTGTGAGTCTTGTGGGATTTCCTAGTCCATGACCACAAATTTTAAATGGCTCTCAACACTGCCCAGACGTGCAGCTCCCATTCCCTAGTCGGTTGGCAGCCTCACTTCTGAAGTAACTTTCACTCTGTCTCCTCTCCAAGACCCCAAGGCCATTTCCTCTCCTTCCTGGCCGATCACTGTCCTCACGTTTTCCATTGAGATAGATCCAGCGAGATGGTCCTCCTCCTCCTGTGGTGGTGTCCCCCAGCCTGCCTGCACGATTCCCCCATGCCCTGCCTCCCTGCTCCCCCCTCGCCCCCGCAACACACACACACACACACACACACACACACACACACGGGATGGACTGGCTGCCAGTACCCGAGCCTTCGATGCAGTCTGGGTCCAGCTTCTCTCTCCTAAAGGTCTTGACTCCTGTGGCTAGCCCTCTCTCTGGCAGCACCAATTGCTCCCTCCCTCCAAAAGAGCAGGAGCAAGGAGGAGCCAAGTGGCCACAAGGAACAAGGCCAGCACCGCCACTTTCCTGCTGGCGTGAGGACCACCGGGCCAGCTGCTCGGCCGAGAGGACACTCGGGAACAGGGAGCCTCGCGCCCCACAGGAAGGTGCGGTCAGGTGCACTGCGCTAAGCCACCACACACCTCTGGTGCAGCTGTTTCTCGGGCCTTGGAATTTAATGGACTCATTCCCAGGCCCAGTCCATGAAAACTGCCCCTTCTGATCTCCTGTGTCCCTGGGCCAGTCCAGGCTACATGCATAGTCCACCAACAGGTCTGCTCCTTGGGTCGGTCTGCCTCTGAGCCAGTCTTGCCCCTCGCGCCAGCATTCTGATTGTCCCTCCCCTGCCCCTAGTGTGGGTGTCTGCTGTTGGCCAGAATCGGATCAGCTCTCTTCTTTCACCTCAAGGAATCAGGCAGAAGGGGCAGTGTGGGGCAGTGATCTCTGCAAGAAGGGGTAGAAGACCAGGTTACACTGACCCAGGGCACGGGAGGCTCCCAGGCTGACTGAGAGATGGAGTCTGGAGCTGAAGGAGGCCAAGGCGTCCAGTGTTTGAGGGCACGGTACTTGGGCGGGGGGGTGGGGGTGGGGGCGGAACAGAGATCCCCCAGTCTGGCTGAGTGCTGGCTGCTCATGGTATGAGGAAACCACAGAGATGTGGGAAGGAGCCAACAGGAAGAGCAGAACAATTCCCAGCGCCCACCGTGGCCAGGAGTACGTGTGCTCCCTCACAGGGGGAGACCCCCAACGAACACAGCATCTGGTAGACGCTAAGGCTCAACTAGTCTCACACTAAAGACAGCTCTGGGTCTGTACTGATCCAAATGAAAAGTGAGTCTCAAAAGGATCAAGTAACTATGTCCTAAAACAGCACAAAAATATTTAGCAGAAGGTAACAGAATCTAGCATTCAACAGTGTATAATTCATCATATCCAGTGTCCAACCAAAAACTTACCAGGTGCGCAGGGAAAAAGTGGCCCAGTGGGTTAGGCCAACACTTGTGCTGGCACCCACACTAGAGTGCCACACAAGCCTGGCTGCACTGCTTCTGGTCAGTTCCCTGCCAAAGCACTGGGAGAGCAGACAGTGATGGCCCACGTATTTGGGTCCCTGCCGCCCACGCTGAGACGGAGATGGAGTTCCAGGGTCCTATCTCCACCGTGGCACAGCCCTGGCTGTTGCAGCCATTTGAGTAGCGAACCAGCAGATGGAAGATAAATCTCTCTCTCTTTCTGCCTCTCAAACAAATAAAAAGAACACAAAATAATACAATCCATAACTAGGAGAAAAACCAACTAAACTAGACCCAGAGTGATGCGAATGATAGAATTAGCAGGTCAGGATGCTAAAACAGCTGCTTGCGACATACTCTATGTTCGAGAATATCTGAGTACAGCGTTCATGAAAGCAGTGGAAGACAACCCCAAGTGAACCTCCAAAGGCTAAAAAATACTTGAAGGACAGTTCACTGATGTGATGAACAGACACTGCAAAGGAAACGCCAATAGAATGTCCAACGGTCAGTGGAGAGAAAACAAAACACCAGGGGCCGGGGCTGTGGCGTAGCAGGTAAAGCCACTGCCTGCAGTGCCGGCATCCCATATGGGCGCCAGTTCAAGTCCTAGTTGTTGCACTTCCGATCCAGCTCTCTGCTGTGGCCTGGGAGAGCAGTGGAAGATGGCCCAAGTCCTTGGGCCCCTGCACCTGTGTGGGAGACCGGGAGGAGGCTCCTGGCTTCTGGCTCCTGATCGGCACAGCTCTGGCCGTTGCGGCCACTTGGGGAGTGAACCAGTGGATGGAAGGCCTCTCTCTACTCTGCCTCTCTCTAATTCTGCCTTTCAAATAATAAATCTTCTAAAAACAACCGAAAGAGTGAAGTGTAGGACAACATCAAACAGTGAACTTGTAATTGGAGAATAATCAGGACAAAAATCTCAGGAAATAATGGCTGGAATTTTTCCAAATTAGATGAAATTATTTAAAACCACAGATCCAGAAACGTGAGCCCCAAACAGAATTATAAAGGAAACCGCGCCAGGGTTTGTCATAATCAAGTCACCTATTTTTTTTTTTTTTTCTTTGACAGGCAGAGTTAGAGACAGAGAGAAAGGTCTTCCTTTTCTGTTGGTTCACCCCCCAAATAGCCGCCATGGCCGGCGCACCACGCTGATCCGATGGCAGGAGCCAGGTGCTTCTCCTGGTCTCCCATGGGGTGCAGGGCCTCCACTGCCCTCCCGGGCCACAGCAGAGAGCTGGCCTGGAAGAGGGGCAACCGGGACAGAATCCAGTGCCCTGACCAGGACTAGAACCCGGTGTGCCGGCGCCGCAAGGCGGAGGATTAGCCTAGTGAGCCGCGGCGCTGGCTTCAAGTCACCTATTCCAACCCGCGCCACGTGTGTTCTGAGATTGTATTTAGGCACATGCGTCGCAGGACCCGCTGCACCGACTGCACGTTCTTACTTCCTGTGTTCTTGCTGGCTGGAGAGACTGCCCCTCCCAGCCCTAGCCAGATGCCTGCTGCGTCCAGTTCTCAAGATTCAGGCTCTGGGTCAGTCCTCCTCCCACTCCAAGGTCGCTGCCCCGGTGGACGAGTTGAAACTGTAATTCTCTCCGCCCCTCTCCGAAGCCATGCCCGGCTCAGCCCCTCGGCGCCCCGCACCAGTGGACTGTCGGGCTCGGGGCAGACTCCGAGCAGCTGCATGAGGAGGAAGCTCCCTGCTCTTACACTCAGTTTTTCCATCTGTAGATGGGGACGAGGGCCTGCCTCCTCAAGTGGTTGGAAAGGATACACTGAGTTCCTGCAGGCAGCCCTTAAAGAAACCGCACGGCCTCCAGCGAGGACCGAGATGACCGGTTTTGCTCTTCCTGGAGACTTTCCCACACGCAACGCAGAGCAGGCGGGCGCAGCACGGGGCGAGGCCCCGGCCCGGCTCGGACCGGCCACCGCCGGCCCCAGCCCACCTCGCCTGACCGCAGTCGCCAACGCCCAGATGAACAAAGACGGAACCGCTTTTCCTTCACAGAAGATACTGTTTTATTCCACTGGGAAAGCCGAGAGCGGACCTTCGGAGTCGGCCGGGCAGCAGCGGCTCTCCCCCGGGCCCGGGCCGGGCAGCGCGGCGGGCGGGGGGAGCAGCCACCTGCAGGGCTTCTGCAGCCAAGGCGCGCGGCCCCGCCCCCCAGAGCGCCTCGCCCGACCAGAACACAGCCTGGCGGAGGATTTAGATTTGCAGACTGGACCTGGGGAGACGGCGTCACACACAGCGCAGAGGAGGGACCGCAGGTCCCCGCGGCCTCTCTGCAGCCCCCCCTCCTGCAGGGGGTCTTTCACACTCATCTCCAGGCCAAAGGCGTGCGATGCCACAGCCCCCGCGAGCTCAGCAGCCCCCCGGCACTGCTGCTCTCGGGTCCACGGCCCCGGGCCTGAGCCCCCAGCCCTGTCCCTCGCAGGCAGCGGCCGGCTCCCACTCCCACCCTGCCCGCTGCCTCGCTGGGCAGGCCCCTTCTCCCTCAGGCACCTGGCCCTCTGCCGCCTCCACAGTCAGGGCCACCTCGGGCCTCTCTGTGTTTGGTCTTTTAAGACAAGCCACACTGTAGACAGACGTCATTCCAGGGCACCCGCTGTGGCGCCCGGGCCCTCGGCAAAGTGGTGAGGACGCCCCAGGTCAGGTACGCACAAGGCTGCTACTCCGGGCGCACGCTGGGACCTTGGTGACAGACCCGTGTCCGCTTCCCAGAATGCGACTGCAAGCGCTGGGTCCCAGCACCGTGGGGACACCCCCGCGGGGAAACCAGGCAGTCGGCCTGTGAGGCTGAGCTGGGCGGCTCTCAAGACACGACGCAGGCATCGCTCCATGACGGCAGCTGGGATTTGGGGCTTCCCCAACCCTAGGAGCAGCACCGCCGCAAAAGGCAAACCGGAAGTGGGGCCTGACACACGGACTCGCCGCCCTCTCACCTGGGGACACAGCAACAGCAGCCCACAGTGCTGTCCCCTGGAGACACGGAAGACTACTCCGCGCCAGTCCCCACGTCACAGCGGGCAGGGGCGCTGCCGAGCCGACGCCAGGCGCTCCCGCGCTGCAGGTCCCTCGGCCAAGGGCGTGCCTCTCCTCGGAGCACGGTGACCTTGGGGCTGCCAGTCCGCTAGATGTCTTCACGACACGGCCACCTGTCACACACAGCTGCCTCTTGCTGCTCCTCTCTGGATACACGGGCTGAGGGCACTGGGAGTTTGGATCCGGCAGCCTTGGATTGGCAAAGCTGGTGCCCGGGGTCAGCGTGGTGTGCAACACGGTAGTGACTTCTGAAACATGTCTGTACATCCCAGCCACACCCGAGGACGTGGCCGTGACAGCTGGTGCGTGTCCGAGGCCACTGCTAAAGCCGGGCCTTAGTGCCCTGCCGGGGTGGTGTGACTTAACCGGCCGTCTGAAGAGGTGCCGGCCGGCACTGGGGTCGCTGGTCTGGGGGCCTGGCCAGGCGCCGCACTCAGTGCCACCGAGCTGCTGGGGGACGTCGTGTTCAGGCCACTCGGGGCCTCGCCAGAAGCCTGTATTCTAAAATAGACCAAATAAAACAGCGGCAGAACCACGCCAACGAGGAGCATGATGACCACAGCGTTCCACCACCGAAGGCCACAGTCGGCGCCGCTCGGCGGCGGCGCGGGGGGAGCCGGGAGCGGCGGCTGCCCGGAGGTCTCCAGGCAGCCGCCCTCCCTCCGGAAGGCTTGGGACTGCACCACGCGCTCGATGTTCCGGTCAATGCCCTGGAAGAAATCCGTCAGCTGGCTGGCCTGGGCGTCCGCGCGCGGCAGCTCGGCCAAGGCCGCTCCGGCCTCGGGGGACGGGCCTGCGAGGGGCTGCAGTTCTTCCCGCGTCTCCGTCAGGATCCCGTGGTTCCTCACGGGAATCTTGATCGATCTCACGGCATATAAATCCTGCTCTCTGATGAAGTTGTTGACTTTCTTGAGATCTGCGACCTAGGGAAGCCGTGAGGACAAACAGAACGTGTGAACGAGTCAACATCCAGAAAGCGCCTCAACCTCGCTGGGTGACGACCCGAGCCCAGCCCACCTGACACTGCGGTGGCACACGGGACCAGTGTCGGCTGTGTGGCCGTGTCCGGCTCCCACGGAGCCTTCGTGCACAGCTCAATGGCTGAATAAGCAGAATTTCCCAGGGATTTGTAAGTCTGAGCAATCGAGGATCAGTTTTGGAAAACAGATTTAAAACAGCCTTCGCGACTGCACCGTGTTTTGGGTGACACTCACGCCCCGGAAGCTGGCCGGAGCCCCTTCCTGCCACCTTTCCCTTGGGGGGCAGCAGTGCCACGTCTGCCTGGCCTTTGTCCCACCCCTGAGCCCGGGGAGAGCCGCCGCCGGGAATGAGTCTGCACCAAACACACGAGCTTCCACCAACTCCACTGGCACAGCCGGACCTGGTTCTCCCGCACTAACGTTTAAGGTTTACCACGTTTTCTCTCTCGGAAGCACAGTGGGACACACAACCTCGTCTTCTAAACAAAAGCGACCTGTGGCTCCTTCACCCCAGTTCAGAGCTGCCTGCTTAGGAAGCGCAGGGAGCGGGCACGCGGCCGGGGACGTGGGCTGAGCGCTTCCGTCCAGCTCAGGACGCGGCAGCGCGGCTGAGCTTCGTCAGGTGCCGGAAGGTTCCAGACCGACGCCTCGGCCCATCGAATCTTTCTTGGGACAGACGTGGGGGAAGTGGGCCCGCGAGGCCTGCGTGCGGAAGCTCACGGGAGACTTGGGAGCCTCGGGACGTGGACAAATCCCACAGGCCTCGGGGCCGCCTCATGCAAGTCAACCCCGCCCTGCGTTTACTCAATGAGCGACCACTTGCATCACGTGGCTGGACTGGCATGGGCCCACTTCTAATGTCCCGTGTCCTGAGACTGACGCCCGGGAGGCTGGAGGCCACTTGGTCTTTGTCCCCAACAAGCAGCGAGTGTGCTTATTTAAAAGAGGAAAACCCATCACTTTTCAGACACGTTATCGGAGTGTACTTCAAAAAGTTCGTGGAAAAATAAACTTCTCTTTTAATTCCATTTTCCCACAAACACTCTGCACATTCTTGAAGAATGTATCAGAAACCAGCACTCCAAGAAGCCAACGCCATCTCTTGGGGCCTCTGCAGGGCAGGATTCCCTCTGCGGCCAGGTCCTAAGACCCCAGGGCTGCCCACTGACAGTGACCCACGTGCAAACGTCCGCACCCCGGCAGGGCTGCAGCCCCGGGCAAGGCTGCAGCCCCCACACAGTGCCTCGTGACCTGGCCGAGGCCAGATGAACGACAGAGCCCTCAAGGAGGAAAGACTTTTTTATTAAGTAGCTTACACAGCCTTGAAGGCTGTGGAGATGGGCAGCACAGGGTCAGCAAAATGAAACGGCTCCAATCTGGAAGGAGACGCAGCCGCTCTACAAATACTTGCCTACTGACTTTGCCATTGTTAGTCACTCTGAATGCTGCAAACATAATTAGAGAGAAAAGCAGGGTTATACAGGTGCACAGCACACAGAGGCCAGATCATGCAGGTTTAAAGGAGAAATTTTACCAGATAAAGCTACCAACAAGAAAAAGCACAAGTAGCAAGGAAAGCAAGCATGCCAAAGCCGCCTCGGGTCCTGGATACACCCTGCCGGGGTGCTCCGCGGAGGGGGAAATGGGACGCTCTCAGAATCTCACCGCGGAGGGCAGAGGGCGGGCGGCGGCGCGGGCCATGCAGACAGCGCGTGCACGTGAGCCCAGGGCTAACAGGACAGGCACGCGCCCCAGCCACCTCGGGTGCCCCGCCCCGAGCCCCTCCGTGCAGTCGGGTCTTACTTTGCAGCCGTACTGGAGGGCCAGCTTGTTGAGGCTGTCCCCCGGCGCCAGCTCCCGCTGCAGCAGCACCGTGGGGCCCCCGCCCGGCGGCGGGGCGCTGCGCCTCTGGCGCTCCTTCCCCCGAGGCCGCAGGGCCCCCGGCTGTGCCTCGTCCTCCGAGGAGTCCCCACTGGCGTCCTGAAACACGTACACGTGGCTGGTCGCGGTCCTGCAGATGGCCGCCGGGCCTTGGAAGGGCTTGGCCAGCACTTCCTCCTGCCTCATCTTCGTCGCTGGAAACCGAGGCTGAGGGTCAGTTCCACGCAGGACTGCACCACCTCCCCTGGCTGCAGCACAAGGGTCCTGAGACAGCCCCTCCCCAAGTCACACGCCCCAGGACAAAGCCGCTGGCTCTGCCCGCACCCCTTAGAGGCCGGGTTCCAGTCCCGGCTGCTCCACGCCCATCCAGCCCTCTGCTCTGGCCTGGGAAAGCAGCGGAGGATGGCCCAGGGCTTGGGCCCCGCACCCGCGTGGGAGACCCCGATGAAGCTCCCGGCTCCCCCCGCCCAGCCCCCGCCGTTGCGGCCATCAGGGGAGCGAACCAGTGGTTGGACGCTCATGCTCTCTCTCTCTCCCTCTCTGTGACTGTGGCTTTCAAATAAATAAACAGATCTTAACAAAACAAACAAACACCAGGAACCGGCTCCGGCTGGCTGAGAGCGCAGGCGGGCGGAACACAGACGCCCTTTTTTCTAACTGTGCACTTTTTGTGCAAAGAACAAATGAACGCCCTACCCCCTTCTCCGCGGCTGTACCTCCGACACCCACGTCAGGACAGATTTCTCAAGAGGCGGCCGGGGTCCCGGCAGGGCAGGTGTGGCCCGCCCGGCCTCCTCACGCTGGGAATCCCCAACCCAGAACCTCGCTCAGGGCGCTCGGCTCACCACGTCCTCGCCAGCGGCTTGGCCACCGCACGGCTCACCAAGTCCTCGCAAGTGGCCGGACCCGCCGCCCTGCGCCCAGCCCCGAGCCACGGCACCCTCTCCCCTACTCCAAACTCCTCGGACAGACTCCAGGGGGGCTGGCATCGGGCGCCTGGGGCCAGCAGGGATGGCCATTCCGGGTAAGCCCGGGGCCAGACCCCCGCTTCCCGCCGCCCGGGGCCCGCCCCCGCTCCCCGCCGCCCTGCGCCCAGCCCCGAGCCACGGAACCCTCTCCCCTACTCCAAACTCCTCGGACAGACTCCAGGGGGGCTGGCATCGGGCGTCTGGGGCCAGCAGGGGCGGCCACTCCGGCTCAGCCCGGGGCCAGACCCCCGCTCCCCGCCCCCCTGCGCCCAGCCCCGAGCCACGGCACCCTCTCCCCTACTCCAAACTCCTCGGACAGACTCCAGGGGGGCTGGCATCGGGCGTCTGGGGCCGGCAGGGATGGCCATTCCGGGTCAGCCCGGGGCCAGACCCCCGCTCCCCACCGCCCGGGGCCCGCCACCCTGCGCCCAGCCCCGAGCCACGGCACCCTCTCCCCTACTCCGAACTCGTCGGACAGACTCCAGGGGGGCTGGCATCGGGCGCCGGGGGCCGGCAGGGGCGGCCACTCCGGCTCAGCCCGGGGCCCGACGCCCGCCCCCTCCTCCCCGGAGCACCCGGGGGTCGCGGGCACGCTTCTCAGGCCTGTTTCCCCACAGCCCTGTCTGCGCAAGCAGAGGGTCCCTACACACAGAAACCCTAAAACCCAGGGCGGCCCACCCCCGGGCTGAGACCCGCGGAGGCCCACCATTCCACAAAGGCACGACCTCCGACCTCTGACCTCCAACCGCAAACAACCTGGGAGCAGCCCTCCGCGGACGCGGCCGCCGCCCCTCCCGCGGCAGGAGGCGCGCCTAGGAGACCGCGGAGCCGACTGGCGACGCCAGGCTGCAGCGCGGCCGTGAGCCCGCAAGGGCCCCGGCACGGCCACCGGCCCCCTCCTCCCGTCCCCGGTGCCTCCGGGACCAGGGCTCAGGCCCGCCTCGCCCCGCCGCCGCCGAGCCTGCCGATTGGCTGCGAAAATCAGCAGGCCTTCCGGGGGCGGGGCCACCGAGGCAGCCAATAAGAACGGCGGTGGGCGGACCCTGAGACGCGCGCGCTTGGCGGAGCGGTCGGCCCCAGAGAGGCAGAGCTGGGGGCGGGGCCGAGGCCAGGGAGCGGGAGGAGCGCGCGGGGGCCGGGGGGCGGGGCCTCAGACGGGGCCCACCCCCGCCCTTCCCGCCCCGCCCCGCCCCCTGGGCCGTGCTGGCGGCCGCTTGCTGGGAGCCGCTGCTTTCTCCTCGGTCGGAGGTGTCCGACCCCGCCCGCCTGTGAATTCTGAATTCAAGAATTCTGAAGTGAAAAGGCGCGGAAGTTACGTCACACACCCAGGTGTGAACGTGAAAAACTTGTACCCCGAAAAGGAAACCCACAAAAGGGCAAACTGCAGTCTGAGGGGGAGAATGGGACCCCCGCGGCCGGGGGTTGAAACCCTCGTGGGCAGAGGCTGGGGCGGCGCTAAACCTCACGAGCGATCAAGTGACCCTGTACCTTGAAACCAGACTTCGGGAGCTGTGTCCCTGTCCTGGCAAATCCGGCCCACGCGGGAGGGTGCGGGCGTCCGCGCCGCCTCCCGTCCCCGTGCCCCCGCGTGGACCCGCCTCCCGTCCCCGTGTCCCCGCGTGGACGCCGCCTCCCGTCCCGTGTCCCCGCGTGGACGCGCCTCCCGTCCCCGTGCCCCCGCGTGGACGCGCCTCCCGTCCCGTGTCCCCGCGTGGACGCCGCCTCCCGTCCCCGTGTCCTTGCGTGGAAGCCGCCTCCCGTCGCCGTGCCCCCGCGTGGACGCTGCCTCCCGTCCCGTGTCCCTGCGAGGACGCCAACTCCCGTCCCGTGTCCCTGCGTGGAAGCCGCCTCCCGTCCCGTGTCCCCGCGTGGAAGCCGCCTCCCGTCCCGTGCCCCCGCGTGGACGCCGGCTCACTTTCCCTAGCTCCAGTACCCAGCTAAGTGCCAGCACTCAGTACTGGCTCAGTAGGGCGGATGTGAATGTGACCTGATCCAGAGACACGGGGCGGGTGGCAGTGCCGGGTGCAAGTCCTGGGAATCCATCCCAGAGGCCAACTCTGGGCCGCCAGCGGTGCTCCTGCCCCGAGATGCGATGCGTGGCCGTGGCCTGGTGAGTCCCACAACCCGCCAGTCAGCATTTACAGTGTGGTTTGCGGTAGGGGTTGGGGCGCAGCTGGACACACCGTTACCTGGGGGACTTGCCCACATCCCGTAGCAGAAGGCTGACCCCAGTCCCAGCTAGTCCACTCCTGATCCAGCTTCCTGCAGTCCCGGGCCCCTGCCACCCACCTGGGAGACGCAGATGGGGTGCCAGGCCCCTGTAAATATCTCCAGAGGTGGGCAGAAGGCACTTTTCTCTCCCACAGGGTGGGAGCTGGGATGCGTCAGACAGCGGATCAGGCAAGTTCTCGTTGGCCAGCGGTTCTGTGCTGGGGTTGTCTGCTGTTGGCTCCACGGGGGGCTGGTGGAGGGTCCCGAGGCTTACGGTGAGGCTGGAGGAAGAAGGGACCTTGGGCAAAGTGTGTTTAAGGATTTTGTCCAGATCAGTCCCTGGGGACAAGCACTTGGATCTTGACTTGGTTCGACAAAGAAAGGCCTGAGTCAGGGTCTGGGATCCGGGCCTTGGGAGGCAAACAGGAAGGGGGCAGGGGCATCCGGGGAAAAGGGGCTCACTGCAGGGACACGAAGCGGGCCCATTGTGCAACCTCCACTGTTTTCCAAGAGCGCAGGGCTCGGGTGACTCCGTGGTGTGCTGGAGCTGAGGCGGGCAGCCGGGCAAGGACAGAGCTATGCTCAGACAGTGTGAATGGGGACGCTCGGTGCAGTGATTTTTTTAAAAGAAAAAAATATTTATTTGAAAGAGTTACAGAGAAGGAGAGACAGAGAGGTCTTCCATCCACTGGTTCACGCCCCCAAGTGGCTGCAATTGGCCAAAGCCAGGAGCTTCTTCCAGGTCTCCTGTGTGGGTGCAGGGGCCCCAGCACTTGGGCCATCTCCACTGCCCTCCCAGACATGTGACCAGGGAGTTGGACTGGAAGTGGAGCAGCCGGGACTTGAACTGCCGTCCACGTGGGATGATGATGTCGCAGGTGGTGGCTTTACCCGCTGCGCCACAGGACCCTCCCCTGCAGTGATTCTTAGAATGGGTGTATCTTTGAGCGTCTGCGTTTAGGAATTTGCCTGATTAGGAAGTAGTTGGACAGGTAAAAAGACTTGGCTACAGGACTCGGTGGTGAGAAATTGGGTGGGGTGGCGTCCTAGATGCCCCGCACGTAGCAGGGGATTCCGCGAAAGGAACTCCTGTAGCTCATGTATGCTCAAACACAGGTATGGCATGGTAGACTATTCAGGGAAAGGAAGCATTATTTTAAAAATCTCTAGAAAACAAAATACGGGATAAACCTCCAGACATCCAGCGTTTCCAAGCAGAATGCGCACTCCTGGGTGATTTTCCTGCCTTCCTTGCTTCTAGACGTTGTGTTTACTCTGTTGTAAGAAGGGAGTGTAAATAGGAGGAATACTTCTACGGCAGAGTGAGACACCTCTGGCTGACAATAATTAACTGAATATTTCAAAATAACGAGTAGGATTTTGAGTTTTCCGAACATAAACGATATGAGATGATAACTGCCTGTTCACCATGTCCGGTCATTACATGTATACCCGTATTGCAACATAACGCTGCATTCCATGTGCAATGTGCAATTACTGCATGTCAGTCGTACACAGACACACACATACATGTTTAAGAATGCAGAGTGCCACACAGCGGTTAAAACCACATGGTGTGAGGTCAGGAGTCCAAATTTGTATTTCTTGGTTTGCTTGTTTGAGAGGCAGAGAGCGATGCCGTCAGCTCCTTAACCCCCAGATGCCCACCACAACTGCGGCTGGGTCAGGCCGAAGCCAGGAGCCAGGAGTTCAGTCGGGGTCTCCCGCGTAATTGGCGGGAGCCCAGTCCTTGGGCCATCGCCTGCTGCCTCCCAGGTGCGCTGGGCTCAGGGGCAGCGCTGCAGCTCATGGCCAGGCTCCCTGGTGAGGGGCCTGTTGTCCTAACTGGCCCCTGAACTGCGAGGTGCAGCATCCTCCCCAGGTATCCAGCTCTGACCCCTCAACGCCCTGTGGCCGACGGAGGCCAGTGTCATGGGCAGGGAGGAGAATTCACTGTAGAACAGAGAGGAGTGAGCAGAGTTGGATCTACTGAAATCCAGTGCGAGGGAGCAGTGGGCAGGGGGGTCGGGCGGAAGCTGACGACTGCTGAGAGGGCTGTGACCCGGCGGTACGCATCCGAGGCAGACTGCTGCTGGCTAGGGGCTTTCCCTCACTACCGAGTGCCTTGTTACCGGGATTTTCACTGGGGGCTTCCTTCTCGCCAGGGTCCCGGGTGACCTCCACGCTCTGTACCCACAGGAAAACTTGGTGATGTCCCCAAGCCTCAGTTTCCTCATGCGTAGAATGCGACGGGAGCTGGTCCCGGCTGCACTCCCGGTCAAGCCTGCAGCAGGTGCCCGGCATGCAGTGGGCATTCTGGGAATGTGTCTACCATTATTATCAAGGGAGAAAAATAAAATCAGCTAAGTTATTTTTTTATTTAAAAAAAATACACTTCTGCCTGTAGTGGATTCCATGTTTGTGTCCCCCCGCCCCTGACCCCCAGGTTCACATATTGCAGTCCTAACCCGCTAGGTGATGGGGTGGAGCCCTCGTGGGTGGGATTAGTGTCCCTCTGGAAGTGACTGTGGAGAGCGCCCTGGCCCTCTTGCCTTCCTGTGGCCACACAGTGAGAAGGCAGTGGTTTGGTTCAACCCAGAGGAGAGCCCTTACCAGAACCCACCATGCTGGTCCCCTGATCCCGGACTTCAGCCTCCAGAGCAGGCAGGAATAAATCTCTTTAAATGCACGAGTTACCCAGTCTGTAGTACTGTCACAGGTGGAGGCACTGTCCTAATTTGTGTAGCTGGAGGGGGTTGTGGGGCTTTTGGGGGACCCAGGTCTGCCCTGCTCTGGTAACAGTTTTGGTGGGTGATTTTAAGTCCGTTTGTCTGCTGTCCCCAGGGCCAGGGCATGGGCAGGTAGCTGCCAACAGGAGCCTGGTGACCTGGGCGGGCCATGATAGGCAGATGTAAGGGGTGGGGGGGTGTCACTGCCCTTCAGACCTGGGTGAGAGTCCACGCAGGAAGTCCAAGGCCCGCCCAGGCGTCCTGGACTCCCCCAGGCCACCTTGCCTGGCCGTCCCAGGCTGATGTCCTCTTGCCCTGGCCCTTCCTGAAGCCAGGACGGTCCTGTCATTGCCACCTCACTGGGGAATTCGGTCCCCTCTCAGCCTCCCTGGAGAGTCACACCCAGCACCCTGTTCAGAGCTGCATCTTCAAACCTCCACTTTGCTGTCTCAGCAGCAAAACCGCAGTCCGAGACGCCCCACCCCATTTCCCAATCTCCTGGATTTCGCCAGCACCGACCTTTCAACTCCGCTCTGGCTTCCCTGGGCGGACCCGGGAGCGGTGCCCGGCACTGGAAGGACTGACTCAGCTCCTCCAGGGGCTCCACCTGCTCCTCCGTGGCTCAGGATGGAGGCAGGAAACGTTCCGCAGTCACTCAGCACTCAGGAACTTAAACGGGTTTAGATGTTCAAGGTTGCGAGACTAAAGTCTCCGAGGCACCCTTGACATTGCGACTGAACCCCTGTGCGAAGCTCCCTCAGTGTGGAGGCCAGGAGTGACATCAGCCTCCCCTGGTGCCAGCTGTCTTTCAGGATGAACTGCTTATCAAAAGGAATCCACCGAGGTGGGTTAACCTTAGCCGATCGTTACTTGTAGTCACATTGAAACATGACGCTGTACTCTGTGAAAATGTACAATTACCACATGGCAATCAGACACACACACACACTATCTTAAAGAGTGCAGTGTACCACACAGTGGTTAAAGCCACAGGTCATGAAGGCAGGAGCCCACATTTTTATTTGTTTGGACCTACAGGGTTCTAATCACTGGATGCAAGAGGCCATTTGCTTCTCCAGCAGATAAAACCCTGTTGGCCAGCGCTGCCCGGAGCAGTTTAGGCGAAG